GTGCGAGGGCTATTATTTAGTTACTTTGCACACCACGCACCACATGTGCATTCGGCCACCACCTCTTATACTAATCGGTATATCCACATGCGGAGAGACACGTACACGCCCCGCTGGTCCTTGCTAAAAATCATTTAGTCTGCCCTGGATATCAGACTATAGTAAGAATAACAATATAAATCATCTAAATATATATTTGAGTCGTATGTAATGGTGATCTTCCCTATAGGCCGGGGCCAACGCCCCAAGCCGATTGGATGCAATTTTCCAGCGCCATCTCTTATACCGGGGAGTGTTCGTAGGCTGAAAAAAAAACCTGTCAAACCGTCAAACTCACCAAAAAATTCCGTGAAAAACCCCTCAATCATGCTGCGTGTGAAACCGAAAGCAAATACTAAAAACAAACCACAACCAGCGAGGATGAGTAAATTCATATTCTGCCTACTCACGCAGCTGCTGCTATTGTGAAACCGAAACCAATAACTTAAAAACTAACCACCCAGTCAACCAGTTCAGCCAGAAGCAGACAGAGAAACCAGTTGAGAGGTTAGGACTGTAACAGTATACCCTACTACCCTGAGGTTAGCATGCGTAACAGTGGGAGTAAACATTCTGTTTATAATTCAAAATTTCCCCACTCGCTGGCCTTGCCATCTGTTATACCGGGAGTGTTCCTGTCACTGTCCGCAAAACCTGTCAAAACTGTTCAAACTCACCGAAAATTCCTGAACAAACCAGTTAATTCGTCAATCTTCACACAATTCAGCACTCCCTGCACAGCTGCTGCCCACAGAACAGAAAAAACCTATGACTATCTTCTTGCCCTCACCTCATGATCTCATCAGCTGCTGGTATTGTGATAAGCGAAACGCCGAAATCAATACTAAACAGAGATAACCAGACCAGTCAGAGCGTACTACTAACACTCTGAGTTCACGAGTTTCAGTTGCTGCGATCTCAGAATGCATATGTACCATTCAAAGCTAGCATTTTCTTGAATTCAATTACAAAAATTTCTTTAATTAAAAATGTGCATGGTTGCGCGCAAGCATTCACGAGACAATATCCCAGTGGACAACAGACCCTCACTCGCGGCCTGTCCTCTTCTAATATATATGGAATTTCTTTTATTCGTGGTACGATCTCACAATGCTATAGCTGTACGTGGGGAGCTCAACAGTGATCGAACGCCAGGAATCTCTACATATTGTCACAGAGAATTAACACGAAAAACATTGTTAGCAGAGGCTTTGAAATTGAAAAGTTCCAACCCATTCGTACATGCTGTTATTATAATAATAACTTTTTGTTATTTACACCATATTACTATTTATGTTCCCAGGGGTTCTAAGTTGCGGTTGCTGCCTGTCATATAAAAATGTCTACGTAAGCAGTTCTTTTCCCCATCGCTTATTTCTTATTAGACTGATTTGTAAATTATTGATATTTGTGTGCCAATGTTAATGTCGATTTTTACCCAATGTCTTCTATTGTGTCCATTATTAGTAGTATGAATTAGTAGCACGATTTTACCCAGCGCAGCGGGTACCCGCAGCTAGTAATATATAAATAATAATAATATTCTGAGTCTATGATAATTATCAGCAGCCAACCTATCGCTAAGCTGAATTTGAATAAAAATATTTCTATTGGATGTGTGAGATCACATGGCCACCAAAATATTTTTATGACGTCATCCTCACGCAGCATGTCAGCGCCCGTGGTAAGTATTCGACATCGACGAACATTCAAGTCTTCAAGACTAGAGTAGATGGTTGATAATTAAGTAACTTAATTCATGACAACATTATGATTTGAATGAATGTTGTTGTTTGCGCTGTTCTTGTTTGACGGATTTATTTTAATTTGTTTACATGTTTATGAGGATTTGCGAATACTGAGATAGAGCCGCGTTCACACCGGTCATGATTGGGCTCGAGCCAAAATGGGCTAGATTTAGGCTCGCGGCCAATTTTGGCTCGGCGCGTGGCACACGCTACGCAATGTGGAATACCTGTCTTCAAATTCAAATTCAAATTCAAATAAATTTTAAATTGCAGCAAATATCTCACAGAGAATGTGGCAGTATGCCGCAGTATGTCGCGAGGATGGCGTTGTTTACTATTTAGAGTGTTCTACTTACGTTCCGATCCTTGAATATTCAATCTTGAAAACCGGCTGCATCCTGATCAACATTTTTCGAATTTTTATACTGTTTGGAACTTTTTATACTGTTTTGGAAAATTTTATACTGTTTATAAAGTTAGACTTTTTATATGTTTCAACGCAATTCTAGTAATCTTCTACTCTCTACGCTCGCCGAAAGCCTGCTGCTAAAATTTGGTCGGGCCTGGTCCGACGTTTTTTCGATGGGGCCAAATCTGCGCCTCGGGCTAATTAGGCTCGGCGGCAAAAACGTCCGTCGTGAACGCCTCGGCTCGGCCAAATTCTTGGCACGGTAATTAGCGCTCTGGCCAAAAACGTCAGTGTGAACGCGCCTTAGATCAACCCGACGCACTGCCAACCCGCCAGCTGGCCGCGCCTGCATACCTGCCCAAACCCCAGGGCCGATTTCGAGACCGTATTTGCCGTTTGGAAATACGGTCTAGATTTCAAAGTGCCCATTTCGAAATTTTACAAAAATAAAAAAACACAGAAAACAATTTAGCGAATTTGGCCTATTTATTCTTTATTTGCTTTTCTTTTCTTCTGATTCATTGAACAATGGCAGGACTTGAACTTGAAGAAATCAAAATTTTACATCGCTAACAAAACTGCTTGATATCTGAAAAAGAAGGGAAGTGCTTTGAATCATTCTGCATTAATTGTGGTATGAAAAGCGCAGGCAAAATAAAGCAGAAATAAAATTCCATATGTTTTTAGCTATTGTTGCTTGACTAAGATGTCGTGCTCCAATGGTGCTCAGTAATATTTACCTATCAATCTCGCGAAACTATTGAGTACGTTTCTTAGAATTTTTACATGCCATGATCGCATACATGTCTTAGCCAATAATCTCTTGTGAGTGTTCGAGTTTTCTTGACGCACGATTAGACTAATTAATTAGCTGTTATTCCGCGCGTAATGCCCATAGGCTTATACAGGCCCCATAGTAGCCCGTCATTGCGTCGGTAGGAAAGTTATATTACCTGCTCATATCTCGGCGAAAGCTGTATGAGATACATTATCATAATTCTACATGCATATTTATACACAGGCGGCGCCACGGTTTTTAAAAGTGGGGGGCCAATTTACATGAGAGAATGAAGTGACCATGGCCGGGGGGCTGAGTTATTGCGGGCGCGAAGGGCCCACGAGGAGCAGGCGACCGAGCGGGCGTGGGGTGGCAAGGGAGCTGTTTTTCAATTTTGCACTTGAAAGGGGAGCGATTTCTGTCGGTGCCACATCGAATGTCACCGTAAAATTTAAAATGTTTAAATGGAAGAAAAACGGAATCAACACCTTTTCACGTACATGTCTATGTACATGTCAACTATAGCTGAAGTATAATAATTAGCCATCAATATGAATACCATGTATAGGAATAAAGTAGATATGAAAATAGTGAATCTTTTTCAGGGCGTACAGAAATTTTCCATTTTCTTCAACCTGTAATAGTCAAAAAATAACATGTGCTGGAATGATAATTTAAACACTGTATACACTCACTCGACTAGCCTTTTATCTTTAGTTTATCTTCATGTTGTGACAACAGTTTGCCTTAAAACCCAAGCTGCCTATGAGATATTACATAAAGAATACATCAACTATTTATTAATTAAAAAGACTCAAGAACTAAGGTGCCAAACTAAACGAAAATGAATAAAGGAACTATATAAATATATACATAAAACTAATGCCTCATAGGGTCTATGTCCCCAGGTTACTGCCGGAACTTACCTGCCGCCGTACGGTTCCGGAAAGGGTATACCGGTCTGCGTTAATTCAGCCGTGCTTATGCTCTGCGTGCTGCGCGTACTTGAAGCTGTGGCGTACGCGTGCGTAGTGCAGTTATAAGTACAGTGTGTGCATATGCAAGTACGCGTACTGATATCGGCACCCGCATCGAGCCTCCGAAGCACCAGGATCAGGCGCCCGAAAGTCCGCACGGTATGTCGGGCAAATGTCGGCCGCTGTGCATGTCTGTTTGCTACTAGAGTAAGGCTAGAGCGGACTCGTCAAACGCTTTTGTAATTTTCCAGTAGGCAGATGGAAAATGGTGGATAAACACTCTTCTTTCGCTCGTTTCCCTCCCTCTCTTCCTTATTCCCTCTTTCTTTTCTTGCATTTCTTTCCGATTCATACCAAAATACATATAGACATATATTTGTCTTGCCAAAAAAAAAAAAAAAGTGGGAGGGCCGGCGCTCCCCCGTTGCCCCTCGTACGCTGACGCCCCTGCATACATATCTTAGCCAATGATCCCTCGTGCAGTGTCGCGTAGTTTATCTGACACACGATTAGTCTAATTAATTAGCTGTAATTTACCGCGCGTAATGCTCATAGGCTTCATGCCAGGCATAGTAGGGCGTATGCCAGTAGGAAAGTGTACTTTACTATTCATATCTTCGCAGAACTAATATGAAGTTACGTTCTTCTAGAATGTCTACATTGCATATGATGATACATGTACTTAGCCAATAATCTCTCGTGAGAGTCGTCGAGTTTATGACGCCACGATTTAGTCTAAGTTGTATCCCTCGCGACGAACGTTTGGCCCGAGATACTATCGTTTCGGGCCCGTGTCCCCAGCCGCTGCCGCTGCCCGCCGCTCGCGGGTCCGCCGCAGAAGAATTTCCCTTCCGCACTACTAGTAAACTCGACCTCTAATTGACCTAGCATGACCAAACTTGCGTTATACTTACACAATCTTTGGGGAGAGAAGGTGTGCCATGAGTGACAAAAACCAGGTCACTGGCGACCTTTATTTGACCTTTACCTTGACCTTGATCATATTTCCATTCTGACTCTCTAACTCGGGTCCCTAATTGACCTAGCCTACCACAACTTGGTATACTTACCATCTTGGGGAGAAGGTGAGCAGGCCGTACAACACCAGCCGATCACTGCGACCCTTTCATTTGACCTTTACTGTAACCTTTGCATCACATTTGCCTTCTGCTCGTCTAACTCAGGCCTCCTAATTGACTAGCGCTTACCAAACCAAGCGTCACTACGACCTTTTATTTGACCTTACTTTGACCTTGATCGTATTTCCCTTCCGCCTCTATAACTCGGCCTGCTTATTTACCTAGCGCTACCAATTGCGTATTACTATACAATCTTGGGGGAAGAAGGTGTGTCGCGTATCAAAACCAGGTCACTACAACCTTTATTTGACCTTTACCTTGACCTTTGATCATTTTCCCTTCCGCCTCTATAATCTCTGCCCCTAATTGACCTAGCGCGTCCAAACATCGTTATACTTACACATTTTGGGAGAGAACACGGGGTACATGTAGTTGGCGACAACTGCCCTTTCTAGTTAATTAGCTGTCATTCACGCGCGGTAATGCCCAGATAGGCTTCTAGAATTCTACATGCATGATGATACATGTCTTAGCAATAATCTCTGTGAGTGTCGAGTTTATTGACGCACAATTAGCCTAATTAATTAGCAAATATGCACTCGCGGTAATGCCCATAGCTTTACAGGCAGCGTTGCTATGGCCCGGTAAGAAAGTGCAGTTACTACACATGGAACGCGAACGAGTTGAGATACAATTCTAAAAATCTTCATACGTATAAAGACATGGTTTATGATAGAGACTGGTATGGAACGATAGGAACTTGGCTTCATTCAGTAGATAGTAATATGAAATGTTAGAAACTTGGCTTCAAACAGTAGTGATATGGGATGGTAGGACCCTGGCTTCAATCAGTAGAGAATGATATTGGATGGTAGGACCTTGGCTTCAAACAGTAGAGAGTGATATTGGATGGTAGGGACCTTAATTGGCTTCAAACAGTAGAGTGATATTGGATGGTAGGACCTTGGCTTCAATCAATAGATTGTGATAGGAAATGGTAGAAGCTTGGCTTCAAACAGTAGAGAGTGATATTGGATGGTATAGCAGGCTTTCATTTTTAAGGGGCGCGATCGCGCTCCACCGCGCACCCAAAATGTGCCATGGTAGCGCGCATCATCGCGCCTCATAAAAGTGGTTGAAATCGCGCCACCAAAAGTATATCTATATGTTGAAATAGCGCTTCATAGAGTTCTCAATGTAGGGGGGGTACAAAAAGGTTAGCAACACACAAACAACTTTGTGGTGTGTAAGTAACTGGAAACGTATGGCAGAGGCTACTAGGTCTGGTTACTACCCTCTGGTTTTATATATATATAAATACAACTAAACAACAGCATCCAAATACAGGTACCTATACGGTAGCCACAAGTTACCTGCTCGTTTCTACTATAACGTGCGCGAGAAGTGTTTTTCTGGCCAACGTGAAAAGTCGTAGGGATGGAGGGGCCTACATACGTGGCTACTACGTACAAGTAATTTGGCTAGTTTGTATGGATTGTGATGATATTTGTGCTGAAATATGCAGGTACATGGATTAGAATCTCTAAGGAGGAAACAGAATAAATAAAACAAGTTTTTTTTACATCCGATCAACTCTTTTTATAATCTGTGTGCTAGTGTTGGGTTGTTGGATGAAAAGAATGTAATCCCTGACAAAGCCATTGAATAAATGAAGGGTGAGATGAATGATAATCAGTAGATTGACATGACATCCCAATTTTCGTTTTTGATTTCACTTCTAGACTGAGATTGGTCATGGTTTCATATCACACCCCAAGAGGCATGATTGGAGAGCCCTCAAAGGAGCTCTCCATCATCCTTTAAAGGCTGTGACTTTTAGTGGAGCTCTCCATCATGCCTCTTAAGAGGTGTGGATTTTTTAGTGGCAGCTCTCCATCATGCCTCTTAAGGTGTGATTATGGAGTCGCTGAAAAGTCCCCTATGGTGTCCTAGGGGAGTCATTAGTAGTCCTGTACTTTTCAAATCTGAAAGCCTGGTATAGGACCTTGGCTTCAATCAATAGATTGTGATATGAAATGGTAGAAGCTTGGCTTCAACAGTAGAGAGCGATATTGGATGGTATAGGACCTTGGTGCAATCAATAGATTGTGATATGAAATGGTAGCAAAGCTTGGCTTCAAACAATAGAGAGCGATATTGGATGGTATAGGACCTTTGGCTTCAATCAATAGATTGTGATATGAAATGTAGAAGCTTGCGCTCAAAACAGTAGAGAGTGATATGGGATGGTAGAACCCGGCTTTAATCAGTAGATAGTGATATAGGATAATAAGATCATAGATTCTCCTCCTCCTCTCCTCCTCCTCATCCACCTCCTCTCCTCTTCCTTCTCCTCCTCTCCTCCTCCTCTCCTCTCTCTCCTCCTGCTCTCCTCCACCACCTCTCCTCATCTCTCTCCTCCTCTCCTCTTCTCCTCTCCTCCTCTCCTCCCTCTCCTCTCCTCGTCCCTCTCCTGCCTCTCCTTCTTTCTTCCTCTCCTCCCTCCACCTCCTCTCCTCCTCCCCTCTCTCTCCTCCTCCTCTCTCCTCTCCTCCTCCTCCTCTCTCCTCCTCCTCTCCTCCTCTCCTCTCTCCCTCCTCCTCCACCTCCTTCTTCCTCCTCTCCTCTCCTCCTCTCTCTTCTCCTCCACCCTCCTCTCCTCCTCCACCTCCTCCCCTCCTCTTCCTCCTTCTCCGCCTCTTCTTCTCCTCCTCTCCTCCTCCTCTCTTCCTCTTTCTCCTCCTCCTCTCCTCTTCCTCCACCTCCTCTCCTCCCTTCCTCTTCTCTTCCTTCTCCTCCTCTCCTCTCCTCTCCCTCCTCTCCTCCTCCTCTCCTCCTCCTCCTCTCCTCCTCCACCTCCTCTCATTCTGTTCCGCCTCCTCTCCTCCTCTCCTCCTCTCCTCTCCTCCTCACCTCCTCCCTCCTCCTCCCCTCCTCTCCTCTTCCTCTCATCTCCTCCATGGTCCCTCCTACTCGCTCTCTCGCCTTCCCTCCTCCTCCTCTCTGCTTCTTCTCTTCTCCCTTACCTCCTCTCCTCCACCTCTCCTCCACCTCCTCTCCTCCTCTCCTCCTTTCCTTCTCCTCTCTTCCTCCTCTCCTCCTTTCCTCCTTCTCCTCCACCTCCTCCCCCACGTTCTCCCCCTCCTCCGCGACTTCCTCCCTGTATCACTGTTTAACATACGCGCGGTAACGCAAGTGTATAAAAAGTACATACTTGAAAACAAGCTAGTGGATGGACTTATATATTCATAATTCACGTGGATGTATCAATATACCCCAAACAACTGAATATCCTCTACTCCTCAACTGAAAACGGCCCATTTTTATGTCATATTTGCACTCATGTTTAAGTTCCTATCGAATTTTGCTTGCAGATTTTATCAACCTGAGAAACCACATGATCGACAGTGTGTGTGGCTGGTTGTGGACAGCTCGACTAGTAAAAAAAGATTAAAGATGGCTTCTGAGGGGTTCTTCAAATATCAGCTTGCAATATTTGTGAGCATGTATGTGGGCTACATGACCTACATGTATGATCGGCGCTCATTCACATATGCTTTCCCAGCTCTTATTGAGGAAGGCTTCGACAAGAGCCAGTTGGGTGAGCAAATAACACTGGGGTATCTATAACTGTGTTGATATGTGAATGGTCCATAGATCCTTGTGAACAGTGATAAAATTATCTTAATTTGTGACACATACTAAGATACTTTGGGCAAACTCTCTTAACATTAAAAACTATAAGGTTTTCGTAAGGACAATGGACGTTTACATTAAGTTTGTTTACACTGGTAGTGCAGAAATTTTCTGGATATCATGAACAATAGAATTTCGATAGACGTGTCACGAGCTACTTGGGGGAAATGATCTTATAAAAACACGAATCCTTGACAACTATCATTGTGAAAAGGCCTGCTGCGTAAAGGGTGTTTAAACTAGTGCGAATTGAATCGGTGATACTCTACGGGTTTATCTTTAGATAAAAGGTTGGTGACTTCCACCAGAGGTCATTGTAATTCCATATATATATCATTGAAGTGCATATTTTTGACTAGAAACTACTGATATGAAAACACAGTAAATATTGTCGTTGCATGCAAATAGATAGCAAAAATAACTAGGCTTAAAAGTTGTTTGGTGAATTGTTTAGCTCTGGCATAAATTTGCATTTCTATGTGAGATGGTATTACAATGACAATTCTGCAAATAACACCCTCTGATACAGATTCATTTGGGCCCGATGCAGTTCAGAATATTTGAACAAGTGTATGTTGCATTTAGCAGTATATATATACCTTATTCTAAATTAGAGCTCTTTTAGTCCTTAATGAAAACGTATGGGTTTCTCTGTTATTTTTATTACACAAATGCCTGCACTTATTGTGTTCTGTACATTAGTCTTCCTTATAATTGCAGGTCTTATAGTTACGAGTCAAACAACTGCGTATGCTGTTAGCAAGTTCCTTGGTGGTGTCCTATCTGACAAGATAAGTGCCAAGATACTATTTGCTTCTGGCCTATTCGTCAGTGGACTGGTTGTTCTTGTGCTTCCTTTGTGCAATGATGTCATGATGTTCACTGCACTATGGTTTATGTGTGGACTAGCGCAAGGTTGTGGGTGGCCATCCTGTGCAAAGGTGCTTAGGCAGGTAAGTTGGGGAATTAATAGACATGCTGATTTGTGTCGTGGAACTCCTATCTACATTTACACCTTAATGTCTGCGTAGCTCGTTCACATTCATACCATATGTTTGTTAAGCTAGGTGGAAGTTATATAATATAGTGTGTATATAATTCTCTATATAGTTGTACTACAAAAGGTGGACTAAATACAATGGTTCGTGGTGCTCGCATATTAAATCAAATGTACGTAGAAATCCTTTTAGAGCTCTTGAGACAAAATTGATGTGTTGTTTATGAATTTTTGAATGCAGCCATCTCTACGTGTACCATATTACAATAATATTGTATTGACAGTGGTGGAACCCAGCACAGTTTGGGACATGGTGGAGTATTCTTTCAACCAGCCAAAATGTGTCAGGCAGCGTGGCACCCCTAGTGGCAGCATTCCTTATCACAAATTTTGGCTGGAGATACAGTCTCCAACTGCCAGGTAAATACCAGCAAATTTGAGAGACTTTACTGAGTGATGCTATTGTTTTTGAAATATACACATCTAGTTGACATTCAATCTTTGGTCATATTGTGCTAATTAACCATTACCTTCTTGTTTGACTCTTTACCACTTCAATTGGGTAGCAAATTAGTTGTCGATTTATGGCAGATATGGTATATGCACCATGGCATAGCATCATTGTCATTGATGGCAATCAATATATGATGAATGTATAATCATTGAATATATGTGCAGCACCTATTTTTTTTCTTTTGTAGGAGTGATATCACTCGGCCTGGCTGCAGTCGCTGTGCTGTTTGTGGTCGACAAGCCTTCTGACGTTGGGCTGGAAAACATCGTCAAGGATACAACTCAGAAATCCAAGAAGGGTGATGCTGGTGCGGAATCTACTGGTTTACATACAAATGTGTGATTAATTTGAGAATAATGTACATATGTGAGGGAGACATAACTATTACATACTCTGCATTTTAATAAATAAATAAATATATAATTTGTATTGTTAATATCAGGAGCTAATAATGACAAATTTCACACATATATTATTATATACACATACTTCATAACATAATATGATTCCTGGTGCCGAATATTGAGGGAGGAGGAAAAAAATGATGAGGTTGAGGGATCTAGAGAGGTAGTAGGGGGAGAAGTTATCTAATATGTAAGAACATCAGGAGTGAATAAAAATCAATTCAGTTTTATTCACTCCTGATGACATGGATATGATTTGTGTTTTCAGATACTGTTCAGTCGGAGTCTACTTGGAAAGATTTACTGAAAAGTCCATTCCTGTGGCTACTATGTATCGGCTATCTTATTGTATATGCTTCTAAGACTGCTGCAAGTGACTGGGGACAGTTGTATGTTATACAAGAACTTGGCGGAAGCCAGTACCTAGGTATTACTAGAGTCCAATTACATTTACTTTTCCTCTCTCATATGATTACAAGTTTCGAGGCTATGTCTCGTGAAATAAAATCTATAATATGCAATCATTATCATTGTGGATGTTGTTGTCACAAGACGAGCATTTTAAAACTTGCCCAAACCTAGAAAAGGGTGGACCAGATTAATATTTTCGTCAATTTAAGTACTAGAAGAGTAATACATGCAAAATAGTCAGAGTTATCTTTAATGGTTATTATTTGCTCATGTGTCTGTTGACTCTGTTTGTTATTCAGTTGTTAGCTCATCTGACATAGTCAGATGCAGCTTGTAGAATCGCTTGATCGTCCGTCCGGTCGTCCGGTCGTCCGTCAACAGTTGGGCACAAATCTTAACCGCTCGACGTACGGTCACGATATTCGGCACATTGGGGGGGATCGTCAAAACGAGTTGGGCTGTCGAAGCTGGGGGTCAAAGGTCAAAGGTCAAGAGGTGTAAAATAAGGGGGAACATTCACTCCTTAACTTAAGGTATAGGGAGGAAATGCAGAATTGCGGCACAAATCTAAACGGCTCGACCTAGGCTCGTGATAGTCGGTGTATAGCATCATGGTAGGAAAAGCCATCACTGTGCCGAAATTGGAGGTCACAGGTCAAAGGTCAGTGGGCACAGGGCAGATTTTAGACATTTTCTGAGGACATGGTCTGACGGAGCGATTGAAAAACTTTTTTGTTTCAGCGGTGACCTAGCATTTTTATGGCTTTATTGAAAGGACCATGAAATGTCCCTTCTGCTGACATGCGAAGAGTAAGTGTCGGATAACCTTTTGACCCTCAAGAGGAGGGTTAAACATGGATTTGTTAACTGTTACTGTGTTAGAAAGAATTTGACTGCCGGGTTTGCTAGTAGAATCTATACATGCCTGGATGTATGAGGCTACAATGTCACAGTGAAATTTCAAAAGCTAAATTTGGTTAAAGAAGGTGTATGTTCCTTAAATCGTATAATTTCTATGTCATTCTGTACTGTCAGTATGTTACATGTAACGTATGCCACTGCCAGTGGCTGCTGCCAGTGCATGTGTTGGTGCAGTTTTTGCCTGCGTTAATTGCTTACAGGTGGCAGCTCTCTATTGCAATTTGCAGCCTGTAGGCTTGCGTAGGTAAATGGATGAGTGCTTACCTATTCTGTCTTGCAAATAGTTGTTGCTACTACGTATGATGGGAGCTTCCATCTTTAATCTGAAGACACTTAAACGTACGCGCCATCTCGTGGCAACTTTCATAACGATCCCAACGAACATTCTTTTGAGAAGGTTCCTGATACCATCCCTGTGCATTCCACTGTTTCGGCGTGTATGTGAACACATTTGGGGCTAACAGGGTTTACTAGAATCCCACCACTCCACCACAGAGTCACCGCAGTAGAGGTTAGATGAGCGCTGTCGCTCTGCGGCACTTGTTTTATTAAACCTAGAACCAAATTTACCTTTAGACTTTTACAAATCTTCACCTATTATATGGATTGATATTTTTAAAAAAAATTTATTCTAGTAAGGTGTTAACCTTTTTGCAGCTATGTTAATGTTTTTATTGTGCTATTTTAGATTAATCACACTTTCAAGCAGGGAAAATGCTTCATTAAACATTTGTATTGTTCTGTTCTATAGGAAGTGCATTTATCAGCAGTGTAGAAACTGGAGGTGTTATTGGCAGCGTCATTGCTGGTTACCTAACAGATTGGCTAGTGAGGAGAAAGGTATACTCTCTGTAAATGCTAAATTACTATATTTTTAGCTCGCCTTGACATCGTCAAGATGAGCTATTGCTATGGGGTGTCATCCGTCGTACGTCCGTCCGTCTGTCCGTCAACATTTGGCTACGGTCAACGATAACTCAGGAAACGCTTGACCCACATGTTTCAAATTGCATACAGTTGTTACTCCTATGGGAGAGAGTTGAACGTCCTATTTTGGAGCACGCCCGTCAACCTACTTTCGTGCCACGCCCACTTTTTGGCAAAAATGGAAATGGCCATCTAGATTAATTCGATTTTGTTAAATTTACTTACCTACCTATCTACCTACCTACCTACCTACCTATTCATACCTACGTGTAATATTGTGTTTTAGATTCTTCGTTACAGTAATTTGACTGGAATATTTTACTTTTATTTGCGCGATAATCGAAAATCAAAATGGCGATCATTTAGGCATAGCGTCATCTCTCGCCCAAATTTCAGACTTTCACATCTGAAACATTTATTTCCGCATCAAAACTAACCCTGAAACAATTAAAACAGTAACATTTCTATTAGTATAAAACAGGGAATAAGGACATTTGATCACATTTCGGTCCGTCATAAATGAAACACTTACCAAATATTAAATATCATCTCCCTCTTCTATCACACCCAAGGTGAGCTATAGTGTCATTGACGCTTTCATTTGAATTTGATGTGCTCCAAGCCAACTGGTCAAATCAAACCAGATTTTGTTATCACTGATAGAGGTCACTTGCGAAACAGGCAGATTGTGTTTTTGAGGCACATGTTGTATATGTATAAAGATGACAAAGTGTTTTAGCACTTCAACAGGAGCTTCAGTCAGATCCTCAATATATGAGAAATCTACCATAGTCCCAGAGATAGCTCAAAACTATACAAATTGAGACCTTCCATGATATCTTGTTAGTTTATTAATATGGTTCTGTTTTCAGAAAAGTCGAGGTGACACGAGTGACAGCAGTCCAAGAATGATTGGCGTGCTGATATTTGTTGGAGTTGTGTTTACACTGTTTCATGCACTTGTCTACATTGTGAACAAGGACTCATCTGAGGTAAATGTAAACAAGATAGTTATAGATAACGCACACGCATGCACGCACGCACGTACACATGCCCACACACTGATATATATATATATAT